CCTAAACACAAGAAAAGAAAACACAAGAAGGCTGAAACAACAGAGCCCACAGAACCTACAGAGCCTTTGATCGAAGAAGAAGTGGCAGAGGATACAGCTCCTGTAAAGTGCAGAAGGTTGCGCAGAGTGATCGTCGATGACTCCCCAAAGAACATATTGAAGATGTTCTAAAGAATATTCACAAGGAGTTCGCAGCGACCATTGATGCATCAACTTTGGGCACAAAAGTCGTTCTAGATGATGAAGATGAAGAAGAAGACAACCAAGCCAAACTCCCCGCGCATTCCACGATTCTAGAGGCCCTGTTCTAGAGGGACCCTCTATTGAAACAGGCTCGCACAAGCCGATCCTAACCTATCCAACCGCCGCGGAGGATACTCTTTCATCCTCTGTGGAACGCACTCCCGGGCACCCACACATTACTCCTTCATCCTCTTAAAAGGATGAAGGTTTTAATATAAGAGTCCATTCGCCCAAGGACTTGCCACAACATAAAGAGGCATGTGTTGCCTCTTCATATGAGTGTGAACTTCAAGAACGTGCTTCAGAGGCACAAGTGAGAATCACTATGACAGAAGGTCTAGAACACCCAATGTCTACACAAGATCCCTCTGCCATGATAGGCTCTGAACCTACAGGGCACGATATYTTYRRAACACCATTAGGCTCTCCTCAAAGAGATAGCCAAGGATATGGTGGAAGTCCCCGAGCTGACTCCGTCCAACCAGTCACTGAGGGCGCCTCTGACTCGAAGGCTAACAGATCACCATGTGTTGGTGATCTGGGTACACAGAATACCTATGTGACAAAGGAGGAGTTTCAAACCTTTGCCACAGCGGTGTTCACCAAGATGGACGAGTTGAAAAGCTTGTTCATCTCTCGACCTCTGTCAGAAGATCTTTCTCCACTTACAGAGGCTGTGAAGGAGTTGTCCTCCACGACAGTAGATTTGAAGTCATCAATCACAACTCTTCATAGCTCTGTTCTTTGCAAAGACGATCTCGCAGAAGCCTTCCAGGCTATGACTCTCAACCCTTCCTCCATTCAATCATTGAAGACCGAGCAGACAGAACTTGCTGCACAATTTGCCACTGTTCTCATCTCTTCAGGTTACACCGACTATTCCAACTTCAAAGATGAGATCAAGCAAATGTTTGCCTTTGCGGTCACATACGGCGTCGACTCCACCTCCTCAAGAGCCAATATCAACCATTTAGCAACGCGCAGAGAGCTGGATACGATGATGGAAATATTGGGAGGCATTGTAACGAAGTATACAGATCAACTAGTCAAAGAAACACGGGCTACAAATGTCTCTATCCAAGATTGCACTAAGAAGCTTCTCTCAGAGGGTGAGTCTCTGCGTGACAACCTCTATCTTTGTGTGCATAAGCTGAAGTGGGCTACAGGCATGGATATTGGCAATGCTACTTCCAATGTTGAACATGCCATAGAATTGACGGAGAAGGCTGCTCTAAGGATTCTGCGAAGATTGAAGAAGACTCCCCAGGTTACATGCAAGGCAGAAGCCACAAAAGACCATGATGATCATGAAGGTGATGACCATGATCATCATGAGGGGGAGAAGAAGACTCCAGAGCCAAAGAATCCTGAGCCAAAGAAGCCTGCTCCTGCCAAAGGTATCACAATAGTGGAATCTACAACAGCCAGAAAGGACAAAGCGCCAGAGCCTCAAGGCAAAGGCAAAGGCTAAGTTGTAGAGCAACCACAAAAGGGGTCGTCTACAAGCTCAGAGGCTGAAATCGATGAAGATTTATACAAAGATGACCCAAAAATGCTACGTGTTTTGAAGATGTCTAAGGCAGAGGATCAAGCGAGAAAAGGCAGAGCTCCAATATTCATGCCCCCCAGAGCAGGGGAGGGTACGTCATCAAAATTCCCATCAGTCCAAGAAACATCAACGGGTACATTCGACACTCTGTAGGGATCTGTCAAACCTATTCTTGTAGAGGGGCCAACCCAGAGGCCCATACTAGAAGAGGATGAAACAAAGATGGCAGAGCACCCCACAGCAATAAGGGTGGATGAAATCTTCGAGTCGATGAGCAAGATTCCATTCCCTAAACC